TACAATTTTTCTGTACCATTTTCGAAATTATTGATGAAATTTTGTTTGTGAGCAGAATATCAAAATTATTGTAATTAATTATTTATTCTGTTTGTACAATTTTTCTGTACCATTTTAAATTATTGATGAAATTTTGGTTGTAAGCAGAATATCAAAATTATTGTAATTAATTATTTATTCTGTTTGTACAATTCTTGCGTTTCATGGCTTTTGTGATGTTGAAAATATATCTTGAAAAATATGAATCTCACCACGTGACATTTCACGTTTGGTATTTCTATCCTTCAATTTTTATTTTGCGGTTACATTCTCGGATACAGGTAAAATTTTTGAATGTAGTTTTTGTTATGATTTATTATCGAAAGATTTCGTTACACGGCTTTTCAAGTATATACGCGTGGATATACACCACCGGTCAAAAATATAGGACCATCTCCACTGCTTTTTCATGTAAATCTATAATCGATAGATTTTTTATCTGCAGTATTGTACCTTGTTACGTTCTTTTTAAAATTCATATTTAGTTAATTTAGTTTGCCAATCTGTGTATTAATATTTTTAGTGCGTGGACTTTTATACTATCTTCATTTCTATTTACTGATAGCACAATAATAATGTGCTGCTATATATAAAATTAAAATAATTATAATATAATGAATATATAAAAAATACTAATCTTGCAATATACAATCAGAAATTTATTATTAGCTTCGTCCTTAAATAGCAAAAGAATGGAATTATAAAAACCGTTTCCTATAAAATACATCTCTTGTGAAAAATCATTATTACGAGTATTTTATTAATTCAGTATTAAGATCATTAGTTACGTTCACACTGCAAGAACAACTACTAACAATTTTCAGAAATCTTCCTATATTTTCAAATTTATTTTTTACAAGATTAAATTTAATATTTTGATAAGCATTTCATAAAACGTTTCTCAAATATTCAAAGCTAAATGAGGTTAAAAAACCACCACTTTTTATGTACAAAACTGGTAATATTAAATAAAACATACTCTAAACCTTGTACTTTACATTTTCATGAAAAGGTAGTCCTATACTTTCGGTTGGCAGTGTATGTACATGAATATACAGAGTGTACTGCAACCATGTAATAAACGAAAGAAGATTCCTTATGCAAAAATAATTCACGTAAAATTATTTCATTTAAGACTTAGCATGGAACTTGTAGCACGCTCCTGTAGCGTGGAACTTGTCTCAAAATGGCGGCGTACCGCACCAAATGGCGTAACGCCTAAGCAATTTCTGCCTAAGCAGAAAAAATATTTTACGTCTCCTTTTTACAGAAAGAATCTTCTGATACACTCTGTACACTCTTATACGGTATTTATCCACATAATAACATTTATAATTTTATATATTTATACGTGTATAATAAGTATGCGAATACATATATACAATGATATGTATATATAAATATATGTATGTGGAAGTCAAAAATTAATAAAGTTAAAAAAATATAATCTTCAAAATAGAAACTATAACCGTTTTTCTTCTCCCAGCTACAGCACTATTGTGTCACTTATGAGTCCTTTATTCTCGTGTTTGTTTTCCTTGGAAAAACATCGAACATCATTCTTTCGCTTTCTTTTTGTCTCCTTTGTACGGAATTGCGTATTGTGTACCTACTGTTTTCTGTGCTCGTCGATTCGTGAACCAACGAACGAAAATGAAAATTTCACCGTTTTAGAGTATCTTAGGTTCCTAAATTTCCCGTTTACGAAATTTCGAACGAACGTAATAGAAGAATACGGAAACTCGTAAAATCTTCCAGATCGGTTACTTAACTATTTTAAATACTTCGGCATATAATTTACTCTTCTCACAACACTTATATTTCACTGGGTTATTTTGTAGCTTTCCAAGCGGGGCAAATGTTCGTCTAAAAATCTTAAACGTTAAAACAACAGATGTAAACTCGAAGAAAAAGACTCCAAGCTAAACACTTCTTATTTAAACATTCATCGCTTAACAAACCTTCAAAAATTTATATCTCGTGAAGGACAATTACAGTGTCCTTAAATAAGTTCCCATACTGATTAGTTTACTGTATTAACAATATATCTACTTTACAAATATAAACAATCTTCGTTAATATACTCATTGAACGTAACAATTATTAACTCGTCATCCGTTTACAAAAGATCAGGACGTTATTTAAATAATAAACTTCTCTATGTATTGCTCTTAAAAATACTGAACGCTATTATACATATAAAATATACAACGTGAAAAATGTATAAATAAAATGTTCGATTGTCCTCTAAATTTTGTGGAGGATGTCGCTTAGCGACCGCCATCGTTCCGGTAAAAATACGGCAACCACGAAAATATCTTTTTGCTCTGCTGTTGACAGCGCTAAATCAACTAATTTTCTGAAGAAAATCGTCACAGTTTAATTCGCAATTTTATTTACTTTTCAAACGAACTCCAACAAAAATTTTATCATATTTACACTTTTCATTCAATTCAACAAACCTGTACAATTATTTAACACTTTTCTGCGGTGAACTGATTTCAAATTTAATTCATTAATACACGAGAGAACGGATTTTGTAGAAACATCAAAAACTGTAACGCCATCTGTTCAACAGTTAATTACAACTTCATAACCGCGAGATCATTTATAACTTATTCAAAAGATATTGTTCGAGCTTCATTTAATATTTAATAGGAGATTTATATTCATACTTCTTTGTATAAAATTACAGGAATTTTCTCAATATGTACTTCTCCAATTCACCAGGTCAACGATAATTAGTTGCAGCTTCCATCGAATCGAATAAAATTAACCTTCGGAGCTCGGGCAGAATTTTATTATAAATTCCAGCATTACAATTTTTACGTGGCTGTTAACGTGCTAATATCTGCTTTTAAATAGTTCGAATTTTACGCACTGCGATTTTTATTGCTGCCAATTAGTCAGTGGTTGTCAAACTTTTCAAAAATACTTCAACAATAAATATAAAATTCAAAAATTGTACGAAGGCAAACATGTCTTTTATGTGTTTCAATGATCATTGAAGAAAATGAATTCACACACACGAATGACAGGCAATGTTAATAAAAATATGTACATATACATTTACATGTATTAAACTCGTTTTACTGTACACTGCAATTAACTATGCACTCAACTAATTTCTGTGTACTTTTTATAATATAAATTGAGAACCATTGAACACCAAAAGTGACCAAACATAAATGGAAGGCTTTTCAGAACATACACGTGTGTGTTTAGAAAAATGAAAAAATTAAGAGTTGCAGTTTAACAATATATTATACTTTGTGCTATAATGAACATTAAAAATTTTGTTAGAAAAATGAAAAAATTAAGAGTTGCAGTTTAACAATATATCACATTTTGTGCTATAATGAATATTAACAAATTTTATTAGAAAAGTGAAAAAAAATTAGAGTTGCAGTTTAGCAATATATTATATTCTGTACTATAATCAACAGTAAAAAATTTTGTTAGAAAAATGAAGAAATTAAGAGTTGCAGTTTAACAATATATTATATTTTGTACTATAACCAACATTAAAACATTTTTTGTTAGAAAAATGAAAATATTAAGAGTTGCAGTTTAACAATATATCATACTTTATACTATAATGAACATTAAAAATTTTGTTAGAAAAATAAAAAAATTAAAAGTTGCAATTTAACAATATATCACATTTTGTGCTATAATCAACAGTAAAATATTTTGTTAGAAAAATAAAAACTGAAAAGTTGCAGAGTAACAGTACATCATATTTTGTGCTACAACCAACATTAAAAAATTTCATAAAAAAATGAAAACTGAAAAGTTTCAGAGTAACAGTACATCACATTTTGTGCTATAACCAACATTAAAAAATTTCATAAAAAAAATGAAAACTGAAAAGTTGCAGAGTAACGATACATCAAATATTGCACTATAATCAACATTAAAAGAATCAATTATAAAAAAAGGTCTTGTTAAATTGAGATTAGTGTCCGGTAATTTACTGCCCGTTCTCTAAAGGCTGATTAGCGAAACATACAAGAAGTTTTCGAATTCATTTGTCGTTAATACGATAAAAGGTTGAAAAGGTTGGGTCAAATCGTTATCGTTCTTTCGCAATCCGCGTGTACGTGACGTTTTCGCTAAAATGACGTTCCACTTGGTTACATAAGCGCAATTGCTTATCGATGGAAATATAATTTTAGCTTTATCAATATCGAGGGTCCTTTTAATTCCACTTTATTCGATATCTCGAAAGGCAAGAAACGAAACCGGGTGACGCTCCTGTTTTAAATAATGGCTAACTGTGAGAAAAATTGGAACTGTGCCTAATTTTAATTATTCTTATTAATATTGAATTAGTATAATATTGAGATCTTCAAAGGGCAGTAAATAGAAAAATACCGAAAATAAGTGCAACAAAGGAAACGGACGATAAAATTCACTTGAAGTGAAATTATCCGAAGTGATTCTGAATGAACTGGTAAAGTGTTAGTCACGTCACGTTTCAGTGTTTGCGCGAAAAGAAAGCTCCTTTGTCGAAAATTTCTATCGAAAGGATCTCGAAAGCATATCTCCGAACAATCTTCTATCGATTCGGATCTACCGATTCTTCCCGTGGAATCTGGATTAAATCAGGTCCAGAATAACACTGGTTCTTATTGAAAGATCTTGAATTCAGTTATCTTAATGACTGCCTCGTACGATAATTAACCTCTTAACCTTACGATTCCTTCATCCAGAAAATTATCTTTTGTGTTTATAATGAAAAATTAATTAACCCTTTGTTGCTTGACTTTCTTCATTCCGACCAGAAATATTTCTCACTGAACACCGTGAAAAAACTCTTTGCATAACAATAACTCTTGCATTATTAATAAGAAGTCAGGAGGAGTGCTTTTTAATTAGAAAAATTTATTCAAAGGAAAATGATACATCTGCGAGGTTCAATTGGGTATATTGTAACTTTGAGGAACAAGAATATCTTCAATAATTTTATTTATGTTTGAAGAAATACAAGAATATATTATAATATATTTGCAACGAAGGATTAAAATGAAATCAGTTCTGTTTCAGACATTTTCTCTTCAATGAATACACCGATCTTCCGAATATTAAATATTCTAGCTAAAATGGCCGCCGAGGTTAAGAGGTTAAACTCCTTAAGATGACTCGATAAAGAAATCGTCAACTTCGTTAACAACGTTTTGTATCAAAAGTAATAATCGTGTTACTTGTTACGCGTTAAGTTAAAGGCTAATTGAAATATAATTACTTCAAGTCCGTGATAAACAATAAGTGTGTAAGCAAATGGATGATCACTTGTCAATTCCATAACCGATGTCTCTATTACTCGATCAAACAAACCCGGTTAATGTTATTCGGTGTTTCCAACGTCTCCACGATCGTCCGTTCTTTGACGCGAGGTACCTAACCCTAACTGATGCGCGTGTTGTAAAAATATGCGAGTCTTACGAGCTACGTGGTTTCCCTGTTACATGTAGAATCACGATTACTCCTTCTCCTCGGTTTCCTGGCTCTCGCTGCCCAACAAGGTCGATTTGTCTTCCTCGTGACCCTCTACTTCCGGTTCCTCCACGCTTTGACGCTGGCGTCTTATGGCCTTTCGTTGCACGTAGAACATCAGGACGATACTGATGCTTGCCAACGCTGCCAATCCTGCCAGCACTATGTAAATCATTACTGGCATCTGGTTCGATCCCTGGAATCAAAGAAATATTTTGTTATAGCCATGTGTGGACATATGCTTGATAATCGGGTAGCTAGCTTTTAGTTAATTATTCAGAAATAATTTAATAAATGTTTTAATCATAATTGATAACGATAATGATTTGACAAGAAAGATGTAGATGGAGGTTTTTAGTAGAGCAATGTATAGATATATGATCGCTAGATATCTGCTTCTTGTAACTACTGATTTGAACAAACTTGAGTTACAGGAATAGAAAAATATATTTAGAGACTTTTGATATTAACAATGTACAGATATATGACCACTAGCTATCTGATTAGTGCAAATGCTACTTGGAGCAAACTTGAGCTCAGGAACAAGAAAGTATTTGAAGATTTTTGATAGAGTGATGTATAGATATATGACTGCTAGATATCTATTTCTTGCAACTACTGATTCGAACAAACTTGAGTTACAGGAACAAGAAAATATATTTAGAGACTTTTGATATTAACAGTGTACAGATATATGACCACTAGCTATCTGATTAGTGCAACTGCTAATTGAAGCAAACTTGAGCTCAGGAACAAGAAAGTATTTGGAGATTTTTGATAGAGCGATGTATAGATATATGACCGCTAGGTATCTGCTTCTTACAACTACTGATTCGAACAGACTTGAATTACAAGAATAAGAAAATATATTTGAAAACTTTTTATATTAACAACATACAGATATATGACCGCTAGCTATCTGATTCTTGCAACTGCTAATTGCAGCAAACTTGAGTTCACAAACAAGAAAGTAGTTGTAGATTTTTGATAGAGCGATGTATAGATATATGATCGCCAGATATCTGCTTCTTGTAACTACTGATTCGAACAGACTTGAATTACAAGAATAACAAAATATATTTAAAAACTTTTGGTACTAACAACGTACATATATATAACCGTTAGCTATCTGATCAGCGTATAGATATATGACCGCCAGCTACCTGATCACCGTACAAATAAATGACCGCCAGCTAACTGATCAACGTACAGATATATGACCGCCAGCTATCTGATTCTGGCAACTATTCGAGCAAATCTGAATTACGGGATTAGAAATGGTATGACAGAAGATATGATACCGCAATATAGTGATATATGACCGCTAGCTATTTGGTTCTCACAAACGCTGATTCGAGCAAACTTAAATTACAAAAAATAAAAAAGATATGTTAGAAGATTTTTGATACAGCGTTGCACAGATATATGCTAGCTATCTGATTCTTGTACCTAGTGATACGAACAGACCGATTATTGGAAAAAGATATATTTAGAAATTTTTGGTATGTACCGATATATATACATAGCCACGAACGGTTATATGAACTCCCCAACTCTTGCAAGTACTAACTCTTTGATTATTGGAACAAGAAAGATATATTTAGAGATTTTTACAGCTATATGAATGCATATCTGATTTGAATTACCAAAACACGAAAGACATATTTGACGAGCTTTTATTTCATTTTATTGATATCTGACAACTTTAATCGAATTATTGGATTCGTAATTATAGGAATTTAATTATCCGTCCAAAAGTCATCCTATGTGATTGTAATTAATTTCAGCGGAAAATATTTGTTATATTTGATATCTGTCGTATTAATTTCAAGCTGAGTATTTTTCAACTATTTCTTAATAGATGTTAAAAATGGAGAGGTTTTCTGTGATCGATAAAATGGACGTTCAAAAGATTGAAGTACAGAAAGGTAGACTTAAAGTGTTCTCTCTGTGAATTTCGCTCTGCTTTAACTTTCAAAATCCCAAAAATCCTACAAAGGTTCCGTAGGCAAAGAGGTTGATATTAATAATGCCAGTAAATATACGTGCAGAGAAGTATTGGACAAAACTGGTAATCGAAGAGGACGGAATACTTGATGCACCTTTGATTTACTTCTAACTTTTTACTTAAAAACATATCGTGAACTATTGAAAATAACATAACTGACCAAATATAAAATATGATTAAATGACTAAATATAAAATTCCATTTTGCGTGATCAAAAGAAGTAAACTTGAGCGATGAATGTGACCCAGAGCAAATCGTTAAATCATAAGTACCTCGTTTTGTCCGACTTTCTCATATATTTCAATTCTCTTCTAACTTTTGTAAGAGTTAAACTGTTATCCAGAACTTTTGCAAGAATTCAATATTATCCTCTTAATTAAATACGATAAAAGAACATCTTAAGTGGAGACAGAGAATTACTCGATGTTTCATAGAAACTTTGATCTACTTACAACGTTGCTGAAACTTTTGTAACTCCATCTTGATTTCATACTGTGTACCATCTTGATTTAATTTTATGTCTCAAAACATTTCATTTGACAGTAATTAACTTTGTACATCATGAATTCACAATAAACTTTACGGTCAAATATTTTGATAGCAATATTAAAATTTTCAGTAGGAATTTGGTGTACTTCTTTTAACCATGAAAATAGATGTTTAAATTATGTAATATTATTAAGAGATGATTAAATGTCCATATTGAAGTATCAGTTTTCAAAAGAATTCTTCAAAGTTGAAACTCAAAGAAGTCGTCTTGTTTGTTTGGTGATAGAAATTTAGGTTGAACCCATCACTAATTTAAAATTAATAAACCTCCAGATCAAAAGAGTATTCAAACGAGATATCCAGAATGAATGGAATAAATCTGAATGCAAAAATTTGCAAGATATCCGGCGAAAACATCCCCTGTCTCCATTACCGCAACAATTTGCAGCTTTCGCGATAAACATCTCTTTTCGAAGCAGTCCACACGACACCCGGTCTGGGAATAAATAGTGGGATAAGAATAGTAGGAATTCAGAATAATCTCGAAAGTAACATGCATCTTTGTCCGTACTTGGAGGACTCTGCGATAAAAGATAAAAGATAACGTGCTGGTGAGAAACGCGAAGTAAAAATAAAGAGACTAGGAGTTTCTCGTTTGCTTTTAGATTCACCAACGTACTCTGTGCCTATCGATCGGTACGAGTGCTTCGGTTTAAATGTCTTTGGTGCAACACGATCAATATTTATGTGGAATACGAATTAACCTTTGGGATCCGTGAAGATCCTCCTGAAATTTTCAGACGGCCTCAAGGCCGGCCATCGCATTCTCCGAAGCAACGCGCACGAAATATTCAAACAGACAACTTTTCCTTCTCTCAGGAACATTCGTCCTGCATCCGAGTATTTTTCTAGACAGATGGTCCCTCGTTACGAATACTCAAGCGTGTTCGAAATTTTCTAGTTTACCTTTTCGAACATAATTTTGTGTCCATGTTAATGGACATAATTTTGAAAGCTATGTTAATGGACATAATTTTATGTCATACATTATGTCCATGTTAATGAACATGATTAAACATGGACCACTGAGTGTACATATATGGAATTTTGCATAGTTGATTCTATTTCATTGAATCTAACCTAACCTCAGTCAAATTCAAACTCAACTAATGTAATCTAATATGATTTGACCTCACTGAACCTCATCTAACCTCATTTGACTTGATCTAATCTCATCTAATCTGATCTAGTTTAATCTAATTTAATGTGATCTAACCTAACCTACATTTAATATGATATGATCTAACCTAACCTACATTTAATGTGATATGACCTAACCTAACCTACATTTAATATAATATGACCTACCCTATCCTACATTTAATATAGTATGATCTAACCTAACCTAATATAACATAACCTATAATAACCTAATAATTTAAAGTAGCATATTTATGAACGTACCAAACATGTCAGTAACAGCGATAAAATAAAAATGAAAAATTAGAACATATTTATTTAAGAATACATCTCGATAAAATCTGTAATTGCACTTAATGAGCACCTCGATAAAAGAACAATCTACAACAGCAGAGAGATACTTTTACCTGCAACGTTTTAAAATTCTGGTCAATCGATTCTTGTCATTCTTAATTAAATGAAGTACAGAGTAAATCGCTGTCGAGTAAATTTACCTTTCTACAAATCTGACCTGAAAATGCACAAACATGGCTACCTGCTCAGCCGTTCAAATTTCCCGCGCCCGAATACCTTGCAACTTCGGACTTGCAACTTATATCTAAAGGAATTGAAATATGCTAAAAGAGTCTACTTAACTTCGCGACTATAATGCACCGTTTTATGAAGAAGAAACAACATCGCGACTATAATGCACTGTTTTATGAAGACTCTTAACAATGCACTTTTACCGAGACATTATTTTTGAAACAAGCTGTATGGTTACCGTCGCTTCATTCTCATAAGATATTGAAGCGTGTTGCACTCGTACGAACATATAAAATGCACCTACCTTCCACTGGAAGTCGGAAGAGGGGTCGGTAAAGAACCACTTCTGAGGCCACGGCTTTATCGTTCCCTCAGGTGTCTTGAAGATTAACCCCTCGAGACTTAGGCCGTGCGCCAGAACACTGGTCGTAATGTTTCCTTTTTTGTACGAAGCTATCCCCGCCTTCATGTACATCTGAGGTATTGTTTCGTTCTCCCGTAGCTTCAAGGTTATCCTCGGCATTTTCGCCTTTCTTGGCGAGCTCGCCGACGTCTTGGTCACTTCGTTCGGGGTACTGATCACGGGCTTGAACGTCGTCGAGAACGTCGGGGAGATCGTCGACGGGGACGGGGTGGATGTCTGTCGGACACTTGTTGTCGAGTCCGTCGAGGTACGGAGACGTTGCGTGCTGATGATTACGGCCTCTGGAAAAGGGAAACAAAATATGGGTAGTTGTGATTAGGTAGTTGAATTTGTGAGGTGGTAATTTGGGAGCTGTGAGAATTTGGGAATTTGGGGATTTAGGGGTTTGGAACTTCAAAAATTTGAGGAATTTGAGCATTAAGGGATTTGGAACTTCAAAAATTTGAGGAATTTGAGCATTTAGGGATTTGTAACTTAGAATTTGGAAATGTGGAAATTGGACAATGTGGGAAGTGAACAATGTGCAAATTGAACAATGTGGGAATTGGACAATGTTGAAATTGGACAATGTGGGAATTGGACAATGTAGAAATTGGACAATGTGGGAATTGGACAATGTAGAAATTGGACAATGTGGGAATTGGACAATGTAGAAATTGGACAATGTGGGAATTGGACAATGTTGAAATTGGACAATGTGGGAATTGGACAATGTAGAAATTGGACAATGTGGGAATTGGACAATGTAGAAATTGGACAATGTGGGAATTGGACAATGTAGAAATTGGACAATGTGGGAATTGGACAATGTAGAAATTGGACAATGTGGGAATTGGACAATGTAGAAATTGGACAATGTGGGAATTGGACAATGTGGGAATTGGAAAATGTGGGAATTGGAAAGAGTGGGAATTGGGAAATTTGGAAATTGGGAAATGTGGGAATAGGACAATGTGGAAATTGGAAAGAGTGGGAATTGGGAAATTTGAAAATTGGGAAATGTGGAAATTGCACAATGTGGGAATTGGACAATATGGGTATAGGACAATGTGGGAATAGGACAATGTGGGAATAGGACAACGTGAGAATAGGACAATATGAAAATTGGAAAATACAGAAATTGGGGAAATCAGAAATTTAAGCACCTACAAAAACCCCAAATTACAGAACAATTCCCACATTTCCCAAAGTGCGTCATGACGCACCTGCATCGCACCGCATCTCAACTTTACACCCCCATCGATTCCCTACCAAAACCCCCACCATATCTACTCGAAGATACAAAAAATCACAAACGTCCATAAATAATATAAATTCCGCAAAGAATACTAACCCGTGGTCGTAAAATCCTCGGTCTGTTGTATCTCCGCCTTCAACACCCCCGGCATCGTATTCATTTCGTCTTCAGCATCCGATTTTCTGTACATTTCCGCGGACGATGCGGTCGTCACAGGGAATTTACTTTTGCTTTTGTGCACGATATCTTTTCCTTGACTCCTCGACGAATTTCTGGCTATTGTGTTGTGACTGACGCGACTCATCGCTAAAACGGTGTTGGCGAACAGACTCTGGTCGTTTTGATTCATCAGGAACGGCGTCGCCACGCAGGACAAAATAATGAGGATCATCAGCATCCCCATGGTATATTTGATGATCCTCGGCCTCGGTTTGCTCGAGGTCTGAGGGAACCCAGACGATGAGAACTGGTCCGTTTGCGGCAGAATTGTGTATTGCAGGCTGGCATCGCCCTTTCGTACCGTTTTGTACATAATTAACAAACCTGTTGAAGGAATTCGTGGCTTCGTTGTGAATCATACGTAGGTGCATCGTTAACAGATTCTTGGCATTCCGTAGTTTTGGAAGGTTTTGGGTGTTGATTTTAGATGGGTGAAGGAGAGGTGGTGTGTGGAGCAGGAGAAGTAATTAATAGGAGTTAGGTTAGGTGCTAAGAAAGGCAAAATGTAAGCATTGTTGTTTAATTCTAAGTTCATCAGCTGACTAGTATTACTGGCGATGTTGACTTAATGGTCAGGTTAGGTTAAATTTTTAGATATGTCCAGGAAAGGTTAGGTTGTGGTGCGTAGACTAAGAGAGGTAACTAATAGAGATTAACTGTAATCATGTATTGTTTAATTTTAAATTAATCAGTTAACTAATGCTACCAATGACGTTGACTTGATGTATTGAAGTTTTAGATGTTTTTCAGGAGAAGTTAGGTTATGGTGCATAGACTAAGATAAGTAACTAATGGAGGTTAGGTGTCGATACAAGAGAGACTAGCTATTATAACCATCGATTGCTAAATTTTAAATTAGTCAGTTAACTAATGCTACCAATGACGTTGACTTGATGTATTGATGTTTTAGATGTTTTTCAGGAGAAGTTAGATTATGGTGCATAAATTAAGACAAGTAACTAATGAAGGTTAGGTGTTGATATAAGAGACACTAACTATTATAATCATTGATTGTTTAATTTTAAATTAGTCAGTTAACTAATGCTACCAATGACGTTGACTTGATATATTGAAGTTTTAGATGTGTCCAGGAAAAGTTAGGTTATAGTGCATAAATTAAGACAAATAACTAATAGAAGTTAGACGTTGATATAAGAGAGACTAGCTATTATAATCACCAATTATTTCATTCTAAATTGAGGAGTTAACTAATAAGCAAACCAGCTACGAATGATGCTATCTGAATGTATTAAATCTTTCGATGCATTCAGAAGAGGTTAGATTATGCTGCGTAGACTGAGAGGTTAGGTTAATATAAGAAAGACTAGAAATTGACGAGCTAACTAATAAGCAAACCAGCTATGAATGATGCTGCTTGAATGTATTAAACCTTTAGATATGTTCAGGAGAGGTTAGGTTATGCTGCGTAGATTTTAGAGGTTAGGTTATTATAAGAGAAACTAGCTATTATAATTCTAAATTGTTCGACCAACTAATGCTACTAATGACGTATAATGCAAACTGATCAGCCAACTCTATCAATTAATCCTCGATAACGAATTTATCTCCCATCAGCAATTGTAATTCAAATATTATTACTCCATAAATGCATACACTTTATAAATGAATACCACGATCACTATACATACGTACACTTAATATGTACACAAACTTCTACATAAATATACGTACATATGTGTTCTACAGTGCATTACGCACCGTATACGAGTAGAAAGACGGATGCATGATTAAAAGTGATAAATGTAAAACGTGAAACATAGTGTAGTATAAAATAGTACTTTGCATGCAATCTTATCCGAGATTAAAAAAAAAAGGGATGAAATTTCCGAGGGTGTTAAAGCATGAAAAACGTGTTATACGACTTGCCGAAAGGCATTTGCATGGTTAAATTTGCTGGCTGATGAAGTAAAGCTGGGATTAGCCGAAACTATCTTCTTAAAGTCAAGCGTAGTAAGCCCACGTAAAAGAAGAACTATAACGCGAGCATAACAGGGACTTTATTCGTACAAAAGTTGTAAAATGCTATTTTACGGGGGAAGAATATGTGATTCGTAAACTGTCGATGAGCGTAGATCTGTCGATGAGATAGAAATTTTTAAAATGGTGTCTTGTTAAGTTTTGTAAAAGAAGGTAAGTTTAATACAAATGTAAGTACATGTATTCTTTAAGGTGCATAAATATTGGTACATTTATTGAGACGAATTTAAATATAATTTTAAATGAAAAATATATTCAAAATATTTGTTAAAATGTATTAATATTTGTTTTCCAATTTTACACAAATAAAAATGCAAGTACAAACGCAAATGAAGTATGAATATTTATTTCTTAATACTCGTATGAATTTTTATGGCAAAATGCACTTGCTAATCTTAATTCTTTCCCAGTTGCTTTCCATATTTTTTTTTGTACTTGAATGAAATTAAATAAATAATGTATTGCAATATATAATTCAAGAGGAAGATGTACATAAACGAACGAAAATGTTATTAAAATATAATGAGTTACATTTTCATCTCGTGTCTTTGAGACACGATAATAGAAAGTCCTAAAAATTTCAATTTAAAACTACAGATAATTAAAAATAATTAAAGCTTGCAGCAGAAAATTATAAGTAGACAGATGTAAATGAAAAGTGACTGAAAGTTGGGAAATTAGAAATAATTGCGGATGGAAGTGCCTCCTCAGGGAAATAATTAAAATCGAAAATTGTATCTACGTGTAATACCTAACAGCAACGAAGCCCCATTTTTCAAATTCCCAAAGGATTATCGAGCATGGTCGAGCTAAAGAAAGGACAACAGACACGTTCCTCCGGGAGGAATCGATTCCCGATTTTCCTCGGCAAATATTAAATCACGATTCCCCTAAACCAGCCATAAGGTTAACGTTTCCCCAAAAATGCAACGCTTGACAAAAGCAAATCACCCGAAAATTCCTGTGAAAGTTTTTTACAAGTTCGAAGGGGATGAAAACAATAACGAATGAAAACAAATATATCAACGAAGCATACTTTGCAAATAAATGGCCACATTTGGCAATTGTCGAGAAAGAAGACGAGTGACAGTCGGAAATAAATAATCGTTCAGAGATAAACAAGTAGTACTCACAATATGTGTGCAACAGAAGGGGTTGGTATTCTCCGTTTCCACTTCCGGCAGGCTTCTCTGTCGGAGCGAACACGACAATCCAGGACAGGCAGAACCTCGCCTGTGAGAGAAATTCTCCTGGAAAATGCGCAGATGCGTCTCACCAGGGGGTGGTGAAACGAGTGCGCAGACGCCGTCAACAATTTCCGGAAGTCCGTCACCGTTTGAATGTCTTCGATACGGATACGAGGAACCATCTTGGGTTCAAGGACGTTCGAATACTACTCGACCTTGAACTTCTATCATTGCTTCCTGTTATCATGCTTCCTGTTATGATTAGCTGAATTCATCTCTGGAGTGCTCTTTGGCGGTGGGGTTGACTTTGGTTCTTATTTCTTTTTTATTTTGGAGGAGGGTTGATATTCTTGGAAGTTTTTGGGGAGAGATTTTTTGGTGGAGGTTTGGGAAATTTGGAGTTTTGGGAATTTGAGAATTTGGGAATTTGAAGAGTTGGAGATTTGAGGGTTTGGGGGTTGAGAGGGTTGAGGAGTTTGAAGTTGAGGAATTTGGATATTTGGAAATATGTGTATGTGATAATTTGGGAATTTGGAAGTTGAATTTGGAAATTGAAGAATTTTGGAATTGGGGAGTATGAGAACTTGGAAATTTTGGAACTTGAGAGTTTATGAAGTGGGAAATTTGGGAACTTGGAAATTTAGGATTTTGGGAAATTGTGGGTTAAGAAATTGGAACTTGAGAACTTGGAAATTTGAGAATTTGGAAATTTAGAAATTTGTGGTATTTGTAAATTAACATATTAATAAATTTGGAGATGTAAGTATTTGAAAACTTGAGAATTTGCAAATTTGACAATTTGACAATTCCACAATTCCACAATTTCACAATTTAACAATTTATAAATTTGCAAACACAGAAATTTGAAAATTTACAAATAAAACACCTTGTCAACAAAAAAATTCAAAAAACCAACCCTAACAAAAATAACAAAACAACAATAGCTCTGCATGGAATTCTTTATTAGTATTTTATTACAAAATATAGATACATAAAATGCTAAGAAAATTTCTCCACTTCAGTTCTACTGAAATTGGATCAATGGAAGACGTTTTTCTTGTAACATATGCCTATAGAAATTTGTACACTATACTTCATAAAGAGGAAGTATAACCATTAAAGATGTTGAACGTAAGAATTAATATAAGTGCAAAAATTAGGAACTAGTATTTAATGTTCACATATTCAACGTGGAAGTTGAAGTCAAGTTCTTTTATTGCATAGTCGGCATAGCTGTTGAGGATGCGATGTCGCTGGAATCTCCAGATCTCCACAACTGAGTTATGGTTTTAACTTGTGTGTGGAAGTTGACGCCCTGGAAACATTTTACATTTTTTATTAATATGTTAATCTACATTTTTGAATAATTATGTATGTGACTGAGGTTAAATATCAAATTAAAAATTATTTCCATGCTCGGAAATTTCCACTGGCTAACTATTATTGTATAAAATTGGTAATTCAATGGGTAAACTATTATATAAAATTTTAAAGTTAAATATACAAATAATTTTTACTAAAAGTTACTTAAGTCATATTTTATAATTTTTTAAACAATTGTAAAGTTCAGACTTTAATTATTTATACTAGTATGTTATTGTCAAATATATATAAGTTGGGGTTGAAATATATTGTATGTGGTTACACTTACATGTTTCCCATAAAAGTGATTATCACCCAAAAACGACCCCTTATTTCCTGTAAAACTGAACATTGGCAATGGGACAGGAATAGGAACATTTACACCAACTTGACCAGCCTCGATTCTATTTATAAATGCTCTCGCCGTTGCGCCATTTGTAGTGAACACCGCAGTTCCATTTCCATAAACATTCTTGTTAATTATATCCACAGCCTCGTTTAGGGTGTTGGTGAAAATACAGGAAAGCACGGGACCAAAAATTTCTTCTGTGTAACATTTCATTGTGGGCTGAAACATGATATAACATTTGGGTTAAATTGAGATGAATTTTATAACAATGTGGATGTAGTTTTCTATATTCTGGAATTTCTGAATTGTCAATTTTTTAAATTTTCCAATTCTCACATTCTGCAATTCTCACTTTTCCCAATTTCCACATTTCCAAGTTCCCACATTCCCCAATTCCAAAATTTCCCAATTCCCACATTCCCCAATTCCCACATTCCCCAATTCCCATATTTCCCAATTCCCAAATTTTCCAGTTCCCACATTCTCTAATTCCCACATTCTCCAATTCCCACATTCCCAAATTCCCACATTCCCCAATTCCCACATTCCCCAATTCCCACATTCCCCAATTCCCACATTCCCCAATTCCCACATTCCCCAATTCCCACATTCCCCAATTCCCACATTCCCCAATTCCCACATTCCCCAATTCCCAAATTTCTAAATTGCCAAACTCCCAGATCCCAAGCTCTCAAACTCCTAATTTCCCAACTCCCAAAGTTTCCAATTTTCCAAATCTCCAATTCCACACCTCTCAAATTCCCATCTCTCCACTCCCAAAATTCTCAAATTCCCAACTCTCCACTCCAAAATTCTCAAATCCCCAAATCTCCATCTCCAAAATTCTCAAATCCCCAAATCTCTATCTCCAAAATCCCCAAATTTCCAAATCAACTTCCAAGTTACCTCAACATTAGTAAGAACAGTCGGTCCAACAAAGTTTCCATTTTCATAACCACTGACAACGAGTCCTCTACCATCAAGAGCCAACGTCGCGCCCTCTTTCACCCCCGACTCCACCAATTCGCATATCCTCTTCTTGGACTGCGGCGATATAACTGGTCCAAGGTCGGTCCCAGGTACGTGGCCAGCATTGACCTTCAATTTTTTCGCGGCTTCTACCAGATCAGGTATCCAGTCCTTCGATTGGCCGACAAATATGGCTACCGAGAGAGCCATGCATCTTTGTCCAGCTGCTCCGAACGCCGCACCGACGATCTGAGAAAGGGTCTTGTTTTTGTTTGCATCTGGCAATACAACGCAATGGTTCTTCGCTCCCATGTTGCACTGCACTCGTTTGCCGTGGGCGCTGCTCTGTTTGTATATGTATTTTCCCTGGAAAATGGAGGACGTTCGTTAAGGCAGAGGTTGGGTGATTCAGAAATTAGTGACTCAAAAATTAATTTATATTGATAGAAGATGTTAGAAATTTTGTTTAGTTGCTTTAGTTAATTTTTGCTGATTTTTGCTGATGTATTGTGCTTGGCTTGTGCGTTGTTTATTGATGAATTTTATATAATTTTTCATGTAATCAAAAAATTTGTTATGTAATTTTTTAAAAATCACAAAAATTTCAAATTAAAAATTTGTTCAAATTAAACTACTTGTAAACTACCTCACCCTATCATAGCTCATCCTAAACTCAATATACGATTTAAAGCAGTAACCAAATAAAAGCTCCATCATTCAGCTCGATATCTTGCGTACAAAATGCAACTGCCGATAGAACGAACACAAAGGAATAGCAATCGATAGTAGAACGTACCGCCTGATCGGAACCAACGAAAGAAACTGCCTTGATATCCGGATGTTCGCAGATAAAATCAACAGCGGCATGTTGGCCATGTATAACGTTCAATAATCCTGGTGGAGCACCGGCCTTGGTGAACAAATCGGCCAGGATCATGGATGCCCCTGGCACACGCTCGGACGGTTTCAAAATGGTCGCGTTTCCACACGCGACCGAAACCGGAAACGACCACAGCGGTATCATCGCCGGGAAATTGAACGGACAGATGGAGGCAGTTACACCAAGGGGAACTCTGTAGGAAATTATGTCCATATCTGTGGCGATGTTTGGTGTACTCTCGCCCATTTGCAGGGAAGGAATTGCGGTGCATGCGTCCACCACCTCTGTAACGTAAATCAACATCGTTTGTAACGTATCGTTTACCTGTTTGGGATTAACGGGGACTGAATAACGTGGACAGATTGTAATTTGACTTGCTTACAGAATCATTTCGAAATTCATTGTTCAGTAACTTCTTTAAATTTCAGTATCTCTTCAAATTCCGTATGGTTCACTTTGAACTCTAAGCTTTACTATATATTATTTGTTTAATTGACTCAAGGCATTTTTAACACTGATGGAAGTTAACAAGTTTTGATCTTTGTTATATTTATCATTTGTTAGATTATGTTTGTGAAGTGATCTGTCGCTCTGTGTAACATATGTATACATATATCTATGATGTTATAATTTATCCTAGAATCTTATTATACACTAAACAGCTTCAGTTATTATACATATTATACATATAATTCAAGGATAATGTGGTCTATGAACAATACCCAATTGCAGCAAATATAAGAACTGTAACCTATTGATGACCTTGACAGTGACCTAGCGCATTGGACATATGCGCAGTAGATTGCGCAGTAGACTGCGCAGAAGGTTCATATACGCTCCAATAAACCTCACTGCGCATAACTACTGCGCACACAACATCCAAACTGATTACAGACTCTTAAAAAGATATTACAATGATACTATAACATTTATTTTCTTTTCGAAACACCTGAGTAATTACTCTTTCATTGTTATGATCTTAATTTGAAGTAACAATAACTTAAACCTTAATTTAAATTGCTTGAGAAGTTTTAAGGATACTTACGAAGACCTCGAAGAACATCCCCTTCCGCGTCCGCCATTGTCTTTCCATTCTCCTGAACTAAATTTGCTGCAATCTCTTTCTGAAACAAGGATTCATATTAAAACATCTATGAAAATTGAACTAGAATTTCAAAATGCTTAGACAGTAAATGGCTTTAAGCTAAGTTTTATATTTTTTAAAACGCAACTTAGGAAGCTAAATTAAAATTGTTAACGTACCGAGTGTTCACGAATGAGTGCCTGGTATTTCAGCATCAAGGTTTGTCTAGTAAGAACGCTAGTGTTTTTCCATTTCTCGTACGCAGATTTTGCACTTTTGACGGCTGTCTGCATTTCTTCTTTCGTGCACTTTGGTGTGCGACATAGTAATTTATTAGTGGCTGGATCGTGGACCTCCGTGAATTCTGTGGCCTTCGATTCTGAAACAAATTTAAAACTTCCATCAATAAAAATAAGTAATTAATTTATTAATAATACGGACACAAAGAAAAGTAAGTTAGAACACAATTTTTAGAAAATTTTCTAATAATTTCCTCTGATTGAGAGCCTCTTAAACCCTTCTCTAGTCACCGATAACCATTAAAATTCTTCTTAAAATTAAAAGTCACATAAATTCTACATAAAATATCCACTTTCCAAAAGAATAGTTTTAATGTTTATAAACTTATGACTATTCGTAAAACTTGACGTCGCCATTTTTTCTAGAGGACACTACAGTGTTCGCTACCGTATACAAAATTAATTTTAACACAACTTTCAAGCGAGAAATAGTATGTATAATTATTCCATTTAACTTTGAAGCTTTTTACGTAACCAGTGCTTATTCATCCGATGGTTAAGCGTTTCCTTTTTAAAGCAATGCTTAAAATTGAATTCGCCTCGAAATATAACGCCTTTTCTATGCAGTTTCAATGGACGCTTCAGCAGCACTCGTCGTCCGCAGGCTTGAATCGAAATGCCTTCAGAAGTGTACTTTTAAATGTTCGTCGTAAAAAAATGGGTTGTAGAATGCTTGAGAAACCGAGTATATATTCGATCAAATTTCTATTCAATTTTCTATGAAACAATTTATATTAAAGGTTTTGAACATCAATTTTCAACTAAAAGCTTCATCATATGACATAGTTTGTTTCGTCATATGATACATTTTTCGTATATTCATATCGTAACATAGCACCTACTAATTTTGTACGATCGATTAAATTTTCTAAGCAATTTTTAATACAGAAAAATAATTACCTACGAACTGGCCATCAATGTACATCTTAACCGTCGGTACGCTACTGCTGTACGTCCTTGCGGCTAATCGCGCCTAAAATATTCAATCAATATTAAACAAATTTTACTTTGTAATTTAAGTCGAAGAATTTTATTTACCGTCATTTGCATTTGTAAATGGTTTTAAATCGTTTACCTCATTAGCAAACTCTATTGTCATGGCACAAACGAAAAGATAATTTTATTTTCATTCAAAATAAGTTTCAGTTTAGAACGTTTTAAATGTATCACCCAGTAGGCTTTAAAATAAATCTATCTGTCTGTTAAGGTTTATCGGTGGGCAACATCAAAGATAAGAAGCCCATTGGGAACAACTGTTTGCCCCTTGCACGATATACGTCGCTTTGACACGATACACTTGTTGGCAAACCGATTCAATTCGCGTTACGTAAAGTATGCGATCTCCATTACACCAGATTGGTAATGACATTCCCCTTTACGAGCGCCATTGCACTGTAATTTTGTATCGGAGTCAATTGGAACGAAGATTCGCAAGTAGTCTCCCTTGAAAAACAACACGGATGTCGTGGCTCTTGAATGAATTTAGAGCAGAGGTATAATTCGGACTTCCGGTGCGCTTCAGAAAGCAATAAGAGCTTTTAAGTCGATCGTTACTGATATTATTGATATTAAAACGTCAAATTGAGGTTTTCAATCACTTTAGAATTCTTTAAGTTTCAATTAGTGAAAATTTCATTGATTTGGGGAATCAGTTTTGCATTGGTTTTCAGTGACTTTGACTGTTAAATCGAAAGATGTCAGCAGCCTTAATATTTTATCAGATTGTATCGACATTCTATTAGATATTGTATTTTTCAATTGGACTAAAACTTGACGAAATTGTTTATATAATTGTGGAAAGTAGTCACAGTGAATATGTGTTTCAGTAATTAACATATTTTCTAGATTTCATGTACTAATTATGTGTTTAAGCGTTCGGCATAGTCGGTTCGGTGGCCCGCCAGTCGGTACGGAGCTTCTACTGCAATATTCGCGAGTTTGGACAGATTAGTATCGTTTAGACTAGTTTCAAATTACTTTTGTAACTATTATCTGAGTATATAGGTGTTCTAAAAGTTGCTCAGTATAATCCCCTTTCAAATTCTCTTCGGGAGTGAAACTTGCAATAAATTATTTTAATGCCGAAAATTATTCAAACATGATGAAAATTATTTAAATATGATCATTTTAATAGGGAAAATTATTTAAACCTGATCATTTTAACGTTGAAAATTATTTAAACCTGATCATTTTAACGTTGAAAATTATTTAAACACGATCATTTTAACGGTGAAAATTATTTAAACATGATCATTATTTTAATCGTATGAATTATTTAAACGTGACGATTGCTTTAATGGTATAAATTATTGAGTGATCACCGAGCAACAGATTTCTGATACATGAAAACGTGTTTCTCTACGTCAGAAATGTGGAACATCGCTAGTCTAACTATCATGTTTGCACGCAGTTTCCCTTTTATGGATCCCGATAATTCGATTAAAGTCTAATTACAAAATGAAGGGTGTAAAACGTTGATATTCCTTGTTTTACTGGGTTGTTAACGCTTGTATTATCGTTAAATGAGAGGTGTAGATAACGTTGACCCCCCAGCGAGCACGCAGCTCCAAACGACCAGTAATGAGGATGACTCCATGACTGTTAAACAAGCATTACCGCATTCTGAAAATACATGTAAAAGAAAGTACTCGGAAATTAGGGATATTAAGCTCGTTTATGACTTAAGATGATCCAAAGCGTAGTTCGAGCATTGCACAAGAATGATTATTATATAATTGTCCAAATGTTATCCAAACACCTCTATCTCTGTAAACCCAGGGTAAACATAATAAAAAATTTAAGTTTAAAATTATAACTCGAGGTTATCTTGATATCAGCTGTGAAAAAGTACTCCATTACTAAAAATTAGGGTGGCATTTTACATTTTACATTCAAGTGGAATTTTGTTTAGGTATTTTTCAAGTTAGTGGAACCTGAAGAGTCATGGCGATTGTATCCACCCCATACTTTCAGTGATACAATTATCTTGAAGATAATTTCGATTTTAATTATGTTAGAGCTATCATCCCTTATCTGTAACGAAAGCTACATCTGATGTTGTGTACAAAAAATAATATCCAAATAGAATAAAATTAAATTTCAGTGAAAATCTGTGTAAACTTATGAAGATGTGCACTGTATCCACCATGTGGCTAAATTTAATTATCATCGACGATAACGTAATTCATAAATATTAGATACAGTCATATTAAGACAGTGACTCCACATTGATTTCGCGGCTGAAGTGCACATCTTACGGCAGCAAAGGCATCTGGAATACATTGATTCGACCAACGTTCTCTAACGAAAACAACAAATTTCGGTAAAATTAAGGGAAATTTCTGACGTACCTCGCACTTGGAAATTCTCGCGAGGAGCGCCATGCTTTCAGAGCACGTTCACGGCTGTCTGTAATGGAACTGGCCTTATCCACTGAAAAAATGGCCTTACGTAGTGTCGGATGCGTGGCAATGTTTTCGTCAAGGTTAATTATCTCTGTTTACAACGTTGGCAGTAGTTGATGTTTGCTGAAATGTTCTCAACAAAGTTCCGACAATAGCCGAAGAATGGGCGATGATTGTCGAACGGAACACGAGGATAGTTTTATCGATTCGAACCACTTCTTGGCATAAATTACTGATAAAATTATGTACATTGTACTTGAGTTCTAATATTTGATTTAGATGAAGTAATTTAAGCTTAATTTTTAGTTTTATAGGGTGGAGAATGGTTTTTTAGGTACTTTGTTTTGAGTTTTGGTAGGATTGTAAGTCAGCTGTCGGTAAGGAGGGAAATTTGAATTGTGACTGCTGTTGCAGATGTTGGAGTAAGTTTTGCTTGAGAATTCGAGGTGGAGCCACTTTCCAGCAATATAGACGAAGCATTTACTATATAGCATTAGCTGTATTTACTATATAGCTAAGATACGCATTGATAAGACACAATATGTATATGTATCATCATATTAAATATTTTAATAGCATTTTAAATTTGTATAAATTGTCACATAAGTTAAATCTAACTACTATAAGTTTATGAATAATAAAAGAAAATTGTATGTGTACTATATGAAAATTAATTTGGTAAGGTTAGGTTAATTCGGTAAGGCTAGGTCAAAAAGTTAAGTTGCAGGCAAAAGTACAGTTCTATTAACTGACTGTTACTTTTAAAGACTTTAATATCAAACATTAAAAAACCTTACAAATATTTCCTGAAAATAAAAACTACTTCCTAGAAACTGAACACGAATTTTCTTTAATTTATAAACAAATAAAATTGTTAAAATTCTTCATTCTTCATAAGATAGTTCTAACTTATAAGTTTCTATGGAAACGTCCCTTTCAAATTTTTGTGGTAAAAAACATTTCTGTAGAAACGACTTTCATTTAATATACGAACAAGTAAAACAGTTAGAATTTATAATATTTCAAATGGATACAGTCTCTTATCATCATAACTGTAAATTATTATCATTAAACGACAATAATTACGTTCTTTAACCGTGGTCTTTCCTCGTTCATCGAAATACCGGTTTCCTTAAATTACCATCGATACAAAGAATGTAACATCGCGTTATAAATAATTGATAAAGCACCAACGTCCGATATTGTTCAGAATTGATTGCTGCAACCGTAAAAAAACGTCCGGTTTAGAAAAAAAATGGTATGAGGAAGAGGGGAAAGCAAGAATGTTGGTAATCGTTAGTGGCCCCGAGGCATGCGTAACAACTAACCGCGCGATTACACGGAAGTTGATTGGCAAACAATCGTTAGAACCGATCGACAGGTTCTGACTCTGTATTAAAGTCTCGTGCGTTTGTTCGTTTTATATGTGCAGCCTTTAACTGCCTCCGAAAGCCGTTTATCGATACGACGATTATGTATGGCGAAGAAAGTGAAACGCGATGGAAATTCACCCTAAAAAGGTGAACAAACGTGATCCATTACTCATTAGCGACTAATGTCAACGTTGGATTAGAAACTATATTAAATACTATTACAATTATTTATCGGGGTTCAACGTAACAAAATTTTTTAATTTTTTAAATAACTTTTACCATGTTCGACACTAGTATAATCATGTATGTGGAAGAGGGTGAATTTGACAAAACTGTGTTTCTAATTTTTTAAATAAATCTACCATGTCAAATACTAGTAAAATCATTTATATAGGAAGGGTGGAATTTAACAAAACTGTGTTCTTAATTTTTTGAATAAAATTTGTGAAGTTAAACGCCATTGCAATCATTTATATAAAAGGGGTTGAATTTGACAAAACATCATTTTTAATTTTTTAAATAATTTTTACATTACAATAAACTCTATCTAAACTACATAACCTCATTTGCTCCCTTAGTTATGTGAACATAAAAAATTTCTTTTAGAATTTATAAAATTTTATTAACAATGCTTCTTCTTATATTAGAGTTCATATTCCATTTGAATGAGTTAATACTCCATCACAAGTGAATATCCTTCTAACATTTTTTTAAGGTTATAAAACCTTTTTATAGGTTAAGTTAATTTATCTTAAAGTCAGTCCAACTCATAAAATAAATTATACTTTGTAATCACATTAGGAAGTGCACAAGAAGGACAAATTTTTATACGAACAGTAATTTGTTGATGTAACAGAGTATCGTGTTCGCTGTAATTCGATTCGTAGAGTTTATACATTCGTAGTAATCGATCAATTGAAATAATGAGAATATAAATAGAAACAACCAGAACGATGAATAATTCATGATGTTCGACAAATGAAGGTGAGACAGTAAATAGGCGATCAAGAATTGTATTTCGCTTGTAATAAAAATAAGCATGCTGTGAGAAAACGATATTAGAAAACGAGTTCAAGTCGGTGAAAGCAATCCTGAGCGAAACAAGTTAGTAAAAATTTCATTCAGATATTTTCATGGTATTATCAATTACTCACACGCTTTCAGGAATTGAACATTTCGAATTCTAAATTATTATTTAATCTGTTGCGGTGCATTTAGTTTATTACCTCAGATGATCTTAACATTGATTCATTTTTTATTTACTGTTAATCTTTACTTTCATTTACTGTTACTGTTAATTCATTAATACGTGTATACAGTTATTTTTAATCACAAAAGTTAATTCAACAGTATGCAATAAAATTTCTCATACACGAAGACTAATATCTTCTCGATAATATTGACTTTTGCCCCGGGGCTCTGTAAACTCTAACGACATCTCTGCGGAGCATGTGATCTTTCATATAAAGATTAATCACTTTAGAATGACACATTCATACCACTTGATCACGATGAACACAGTGCTTTAAAATGATTGTAATACGAAAGTTACGATCGGTCACCTCCTAACAAATTATTTAACCCCCTCGTTGCAGCGTCTGCTGTGTAATACTCGCAAATCAATTGCTACAAATTAAACAACTTGTTTATTAATTATTCTGATGCTTTCCATCCTTAATTCTCAAGTTTCCTTTTCTATTTTCGAAATACAAATTGTCTTATTTCAACCCTTTTGTAATATTCAAACAAATGTACATACTTTATTATTATATTATTGTTATTTAGTTGGAAGGTTGTGTATAATTTAACAGAGTATATATGTATATTAAAACGATATTATAAAACGACAATCATTTATATATACATGTTATTTATTTGATGTATTACATGTCATGTGTAGATACATTGTTTATGTGATGTATGTATCATGTGTACATATGTGATTATCTGATGCATTACATATCATGTATGCATACAGTACTTATATGATATATTTCATGTCACATGCATGTATTAATTACCTAGTATGTTACATGTCACATATGCATATGTGAATTACATGTCATATATGCATATATTATTTATGTGATATATTACAAATGTAGACATATATTACTTATATGATATTTCATACCACATATGCATGTATTAATTACCTAGTATGTTACATGTCACATATGCATATGTGAATTACATGTTATATTACATGTTACATATGCATACATTATTTATGTGATATATTACATATGTACACATATATTACTTATATGATATTTCATCTCACATATGCATATAATAATTACATGTCATATGTGCATATATTATTTATATTATATGTAGACACATATAGTATACATATGTAGACACATATTATTTATATGCTATTTCATGTCACTTATGCATAAATTACCTAGTATGTTACATATCACATATGCACATATTACCTAGTATGTTACATGTCACACATGCACATGTGCACTACCTGGTACACATATCACATATGCACATATTACAAAAATAAATTTCACGTCACACATGTTAATCTGATATATTACATATGCATATATTATTAACGATATATTACACATACATTAATTAAGTGCGTCGATAATATATGTAAAGAAGGCTAAATAAAGAAATGCAAAGAAGGTGATCGTTCGAAATTTGTTGACCGGTGTTCCGGAGGAGAATAATTTTCGAGCGGAGCGAAAACAGAAGCAAAACGTCGAAAGTAGTCAGCCTGGTACCGTCAGCAGCGGAATAAAAGTGAAAAGGAAATGAAATACGCTTCTTGTAAACAGGACTCGTCGTATTAAGCCGCGTGTGACATAACGGTGACATGAATGTCTTCAACACTAATCTCTCCAAGTAAAATGAAACGCGTACTTACGGCCATTAAGCTCCTTTCAACGTGTCCCGGTGTTCACGTGTTCGCGATTGCTCTCCCGTTTCAGGAAAATCCGTCTGGCAAGCGCCGGGAACAGGTTTCCGCGCTGTTTAGAGATCGCGTCATTTTCCCGATGGATTGCATGCGAATTTGAAAGTCGAACGTAATGAACCTGAAACGAGTCCTTAAAGTTGACAACTTGCGTTTGGGTAACTTTGATAAATGTCCAAAATGGCTACGTTGTTGAGGACTCTTTTCGTGCATTGCGGGTTTAAAGTTCAAGACGAGTTTGTGTTAGTACTTTCACAATGTAGAGTTTCGTTTTATTTACTTTCATAAAGTTTTAGGGTTTTGTAAGTTGGGGATTTTGGGACTTTTGATATTTTGGGGAATTTGGGAATTTGGGAGTTGGGAGTTGGGAGTTTGGGAGATTGGGAGTTTGGGGATTTGGGAGATTGGGGATTTGGGAGCGTGGAAATTTGGAAATTTAGGAATTTGGGGGCTTGGGAATTTGGGAGCTTGGGAATTTGGGGGCTTGGGAATTCGGAAGCTTGGGGATTTGGGAGCGTGGAAATTTGGAAATTTAGGAATTTGGGGGCGTGGGAATTTGGGAGCTTGGGAATTTGGGAGTTTGGGAATTTGGGAGATTGGGAATTCGGGAGATTGGGAATTTGACAGTTTGGGAATTTGGGAGATTGGGAATTTGGGAGTTTGGGAATTTGGGAGATTGGGAATTTGACAGTTTGGGAATTTGGGAGATTGGAAATTTGACAGAT